TACATGGAATGACGTCCTGGTAAGTGATGAAGGAAGTCGATGGATGCAATTGCCCCAGGAGCGTATCTTGGGGAAAGCCTATGTTCAGCAATAGACTTGTATTAATATAAGAATGGTTGTAACAAAAATAATATAAAAATTGTAAACCTGTAAAGAGGTCTTTTTTATTTAATAAGGACTCTTTTTGGATATCACAATCTGTTGTTAAATCAAAAACAATCTAGCTTAATTTTCACACCTGTTGTTTCGTTTGCTATAATATATTCATATAAAATGATGAAAACATTAACTCCTTCCCCACAATTTTCGAACAAAAAGCACTAAAGTGGGGAAAATTATAGAACAAACAACCTCGAAGTTATCTCGCCGGCGGCCATTGCCTAATTTGTTTATTTTTTCATAAGATTAAAATAAAAACAACTTCTAAAATATGATCTTAGCACGATCTAAAAAATAATAAGCCTTTTCATTTTGTACAAGTTTTTCTTAGTTTTATTTTGTGAACTCTACAATTAATTAAGATTAAATTAAATGTCACCTTTACGATTTTTTTTTATCTTTCTGTCTGTAAACAACCTAATTTTTATGAAATTATTTTGTTTTTGCGAAATAATAACATTTTAGTTAATTTAGTGACGTTCAAAATCGTTAACAAGTAATAACAATATCGCTGTAATGTCTGCAGAACTTTAGAATAAAAAAAAACAAACGAGAGGAATAATTTCAGCATCTGACTTTACGTCCGATTACATGTGTGTCTTCAAGCAAGATTTTGTTAAGTTAAGAAAGTTATAGCCATAGTCATACATAGTACTTTTACGTGGTAGAGCCAAGCTGCAGCTATATTTATAGTATAGTTGTAGTATGAATGGGTCGGCTCGACCGGGGAAGGATCAAGCTCTCACAGAATACCAGCGTAAAATAACAGCTTAGTGCTGCTGTCTTTCGTATGGTGAGTGTAGAGAACCGGAGACCCTTTTTACTAGAAAAGAGGTATTCCATCTTAGTCCTCAAGGCTGACAACGCATCTGCATTTTGATTCGAAAACGAGGATAGATGTAGGCGTATATGTACGTAATGTAGATCCTAGTAATTCGAAATAAATGGATTTTAAACGCTACTTCTCGTCTCCGCTCCAGTGTGAATATTTTGCGTTTGGCACGATTATTCGCCATTTATCGGAAGTCCATAAAATATTTATGTCATTTCCGTAAAGTCACGGCTTACGATACCCACAGGACAAAATAAAGCGATGGATTCCCGTACACAATCACTACACGGCTATTCAACATTTTAAAGCATTTAACATAACAGTTATATCAGCTTTACTGTTGTTATTTTTTAATTATGTTATTTCCGTTCTAACAGATAGATGTATAAACGATATAAACGAAAGAGGAAAACCAAAAGAAACGCGACGATCTGGGACGGACCTGTGTTAGCATTTAGGGATGCCAATTTGTATTTCGACTCTTAATCGTCGATAGATGTTAAGTATATAAGGGTTACAGCACACTTACCATAAGTTGGACTGTGTGCTCTTTTGTCAACTTTACTCCTATAAAAAGGACCCATCTAATATTTTAAATATAAACATTTTAATAATTGAGGTAACACTGAAATATAATAAATAATCGAGTAATGGCTAACATCGGTGACGGCAACACAAGAATGGAATTTCTTTGCGTAGTTGTCAATCGTTCGCGGAAAAGGCATTGAAATTGAACTGCGTACGGTGAACACTACTAAAGGAAGTTTTTTAATTCTATAAAAGGAAGAACTCAGAATTTCATTTCAATTCTCTGACTCGAAAGGATAAACTTAATAAAACTAATTAATAATTTGTTTTCATTGATGCCGTCAAGAACAAAATATCTAATATTTTTCATACTAATATTATATACCATTGTGGGAAGTCAGAATGTTTCAAAAAAGGAAGGTATGGCAATTCACAATGATGTATTAATCCCTACTTTAATGTATGGTAGTGAAAGTTGGGTGTGGCAGAAGAAGCACGAGAGTATAATAAATGCTGTAGAAGTACGGTTATTAAGGAGTATGTAAGGGCTCAATTTGAATGACAGGGTGAGAAATTGTGTGGTAAAATAAAAGTGTGGTTTGAAAGATGATGTTTTGACCGGGATTAAGAAAGGAATGTTTCGGTGGTTTGGTCACTAAGAAAGAATGAACGAGGAAAGAGTGACAAAGCAAACGTTGCAGAAGTAAACGGCAGAGTCGGGAAGCGGCGCCTTAGATGAAATTTTATCGACCAAATTGGCGATATATTGAAGATGAGCCAGATTAAGAGAACCCTTAACCGACGAGCATGAGTGCGTAGGTATATGGATGTAAAGGAAGCGAGAGAGGTGTGTCAGGATCGCGCCAAATGGAAGTCCGTAGTCTTTGCCTACCCCTCTGGGAGACAAGCGTGAGTGTTTATGTATGTATGTAATTATATACTAAACAGAAAGTGCCTCGTATCCAGTAAAATGGGTCTCCGGTTCTCTATAGTCACCATACGAAATACGGCAGCATTGAGCTGCTATTTTACGCTGGTATTCAGTGAGAATCCTTCCCTGGTCGGGCATGCTACAACCATAATATATTAATTAATTAATACTCCTTTACTGTTAATTAATGAAATCAATGACTGAACATAGGCCTTTTCCATAGATTCACTCGTAAGGGGCAGGGAGTATTTGCATCACATCTATCTCTTCATCTATTAATATATCTATGTATTATTATCATCTATATAATCAAAGTTACCGTATCTGGTACGAGTGATGGTAACTGCAGTTTTTTTATATTAATAAGGAATGATATGGGATAGTGAATTTTCTATACGCCGCCCTACACGATGTGTCTCGCAAATTCTCATATGTCACCTCTTGAGAAATTATTTTTTTTATCATTTTAATTATTTTTATACGTCTATATATTAGCTAAGGTAGCTGAGGGGCTAAGCGCTCGCCGTAAATATCATAGTGCGCGAGCAACTTGGATTCGATTCCCGCCGGCACTAATGAATTTGTTAGTTACAATTTTACCATGTCCTCGGTGAGGACGAAAAACATCATGTGAAAAATGTAAAAATGTATGAGAAATTAAAAATATATTCTGAATATATGTTAATTACGTCTAAGAAATGTCGAGAACATCAAATAAGTTAATATACGCTATATAATCCGTAAAGTGTAGTTTCATTGAAACATTTTAATTTAGATGTTTGTTATGAAAAATTGAAATACATAAAATATTATATATATGAAAAAAAATCTATATAATAATGTGAAAATAAGTTTGCAGATAAAATTACTTCAAAAAAAAAACCAAATAAACTTCACCCTCATCAGATGCTCGAAAGTATAGTTCACTTTTTTACCGTTTCTGATAACTAAACAACAAATCCAATTGAAGAAAAGTTAACGCTAAAGGAAAACGCTTATTTAAGTTATTTCAGTCTCACTATTTTGCGGTTACGACAAGTTGTTTCGGCCTCAATTACTCGAAGAAAATTGAGACGCAGTGTGTGCTTGAATGTACATCAAGTAAGGAGTTTTTTGAAAATTGCAAAGAATATATTTTGTGCTAGTTCTATGAACAACTTCATAAAATATAGTGACGTTACGATTATGTTATGACATAGAAATTTTAGGCAAGAAAGGTGATGATTTCATGTTTATATATGTATGCATGTATGAATGTTTTTCTTTACGAGGTAGAGCCATGCTACAGCTATATTAATAGTATAGTTGTAGCACGAATGGGTCTGCTCGACCGGAGAAGGACCACGCTCTCACATAGTACCAGTGTAAAATAACAGCTTAATGCTGCTGTGTTTCGTTTGGTGAGTGTAGAGAACCGGAGACCCTTTTTACTGCAAAAGAGGCATTAAATCTTAGTTCTCACGGCTGACAACGCGTTTGCATTTTATTCGCAAACGAGGATATATGTAGATGTCTATGGGTCACAGCAACCACTTACCATCACATCAGGTGTACTGTTTGTTCGCTTGTCACCTTTATCCTATAAAAATGTTTGTCTGTTTCTGTGTTTGTCCTGCTTGTGTTTCTATGCAAACGAGGAATTCCATCTTAGTCCACAGGGGTGATACATTTTGATACTGCACCGAGAGTATATATTGATGTATAATTTAGGCTATTGCATCCACTCACATTCAGGTCTGGTCTGGTTGCATCCACTTTAAATCAGGCGACTGTGAGAAACTGAAATAGGAGATGGGCAGCAGCATCATCCTGATAACAACTTAAAATTATAAAAAACTGCAGTAGCCAACCCGCCTATTATGTGTGCCATCCTGTAGAAAACCTTTTATTTTACATACGGAAATGCCTAAGCATACACGACTCGCGGGGCAAGCACGGGTTATGTCGGACACGCACCGACTAAAATCACATGGTGTTCCACCTTTTTCTTTACTATTAAAATACCTAGCCTAACCTAACCTAAACTTCGAGGAACTCTATTGGGAAAGCCTATGTTCATAGGCTGTAATGGATGGATAAATGAAATGGATTTGGAATAACGAACAATCAGTACACAAACAAGAAAGAAAAGCTTAAAAAAATTACATAAGTGCCTTATAATTAATGCAGAAAGCAGTGCCATAAAAAGAAAACATATTATAAATCGTCCTTGCCGTTAAAATATATTTCACAATTATTTTTTTTACAGTATATACAAACGTATGTAACGTTCTTTTTAATTCTTTAGGCTTTCTATCCAATAGAAATAATTAGATTCATAGCCTTCTTCCTAATACCGGATAATAATCGTATAATTTTTTTTACTTTATATGATTATTATCTTCATGTGTCTTATTAATAAATTCTACGTATTTTTTTCTTCCACAGATGCTGCTCTCAACGTGAACGTGACTTTATACCGACTTATTAACGAACAATGGCCATTATCACTCTTCGAGAATTAACATTTGTTATAACTTAAAAAAAGGAATAATCGCATAAACAGACAAAATGGGACGTCACATACAGTTAGGAATAATAACTGCCATCTTAGTATGCAATTTATGTATCACTGCCAATGAAGGCATAGATAGGCGATATTTGAATGAACATATGCTGATAGATCCAATAGATAGCTTTTCAATAAATTTTAATAATTTAGAAAATAAATTTGACAACCCAAGGTTATCAAAAATGTTAAATTATAATATCAGATTTAATAAAAGATCTCTACTGAATATATCAGAAGAAGCAAGAAAGACCGGTAATGAAGATTATAAAGATTTAGAATATTTTAATACCGATCATGTAAAAGCAAATGCAAATGAACTCTTGGATAAAAATAAGACGATAAGTAATGATACAAAAGATCTTGCAATTTCATCAGAAGTAGAGTTTACAACTGAATATGATCAGTATAATTTCACCGACGAGCCTTGTGTTGGCGATCCTGAATTTTGCAATATGACCAAAGAAGAATATCTGGAGATGTTAAATGATTATATCTACCCGCAGCCATACGAATGGGTACTTATAGCGACCCATGCCATTGTATTTGTTATTGGTTTGATAGGAAACGCGTTAGTGTGCATAGCTGTTTACCGAAATCACTCTATGAGGACAGTTACTAATTATTTTATTGTAAATTTGGCGGTCGCCGATTTTATGGTTATTCTTATATGCTTACCGCCGACGGTATTGTGGGACGTAACCGAGACTTGGTTTTTCGGCACTGCTATGTGTCGGATTGTTTTATATTTTCAGGTCAGTATATAATTATTAGTATATCTTTCAGTTGATCGTAACGGAGATTTAATTATGTAAATTAATATTTATTAGTTTAATTTTGTGGGCTCAATAAAAGTTCTACAATGTTAATCATAAACGACACCTGCTGGGCTGTAATCTGGATTTTACAAAAACTATTCTCACCCGGTATATCTCTGAATCTCAAAACTCTACCAATAAAAATCCGTGCTTTTTATAACGGCTTACTGAACATAATACGTAGTTACTTCTGGTCGTATTAAAATGCTCATAGTCATAGTTAGCTATGCAGAAACTTGGAGTTTCTCGGCATGATAAAATCCATGAATCTGTAATAAGGATGCCCACAGTAGAACAAATGTTTTTTTCCACTATTTTAACCCAGTGCCTAATTATAATCCCACCTGATGATAAGTGGTGATGTATTATAATGAAACGCACCGACCTGACAAAAGCCTATTCACTCTTGCCTTGAAGACTTTATTTGCTGCGCATACTCTCTGAAAAGCATCCTGTAGAAAGCCGAAAGGCTGGCTACTTTGCGCTTATGTTCAAGGCTGGTAAGATTGGTGTTAACCACATTTGGGTCACCAATAAGCTCACCTTTTCATTGAGTCCAAAACTGCTAGGTGGCATTTTGCAACATCAGCTCTTATATGGTAACAGTCCATGCACGATCAGACTTGCACTTTATGTAGTGTAAGCAGCTGTCCCGGCGTGAAATACCGCTGCACCTTTGCAAGGACTCCTAGCTTCCTTGCAACGGCTTTATGCTTGAGCTCAATGAACCACCCGAAGTTCAGGTGTAAGGATATCTCAACCCTCAACAACTGAAAGCGGTCGGTGTATTCCAATGATGCATTTTAGAAAGAAAGAGCCAATGTGATATTGCTCCTTTTTGCAGTGAAGGGACACAGTCTTGTTTTGGAGGCGTTGAATTTCACAAGATTGGCATCGTGCCATTGAGAGTAGTGTGAGAATTGTAGTGTGAGAATCACACGCTCAACTATAGCTTCTGTTTCGGATTGAATTTGATCCCGACTGGCCCGAGGACTTGGTTGGTATCTTTTCACAACTGTGTTGTCGTCTGCATACTCATGGTACCGGGCATAAGGAGATCAAAAATATGAAGCAGGCAGAGAGTTACGGAGAGAACGGGCCCCTGAGGAACACTGGCGTTAGTCAAAATGGGATCGCATGAGCAGCCATCGACGACGACTCGGAGAGACCGTTTACTCAGAGACTTTTACGCAGTCTATTAGGCCAGGGGACAAGCCGTAAGCTGGAAGCTTACTTAAAAGGCTAGCGTGCCAAACTCTTTTAAAGGTCTTTGAGACATCAAGGGAAAGCAAGTGCTTTCCCACTGTTCTCGTGTGCCTCTTGCGTATCATAAACTAGAATGTCCTCAGCTGACCGATTTGGGCGAAACCCGTACTGTTGGTTACTGTGTAGGTCATTTTGTTCTAGATATGCCATGAAGCGGGTGTTCAGTATACGCTCCATAATCTTGCAGAGTATGGAGGTAATTGAGATTGGCCGATAATTGGTAGGGTCGGCACGACTGCCTCTTTTTGGAACATGCTGTACGTTGGCATGCTTCCAGGATTTTGGCACTATTCCAGTCCTAAATGAGAGGCGGAACAAGTGATTGTTATGATTTGACCTAGGCCAATGCATCATAGGATTAAATTGATTACGCGACGGCCATATAGCTCGAAGAACTGACAAGCGATGAGAAGAAAGGTTTTCGAGTGACAGTTTAAGAACAACAAACGCAGTGTTGGACCTCACTCCACTAGGTGGAGCGACAATTTTATGAAAGACATACATATAGTGTGTCGATGGATGTCTTTATGAATGTTATAAGTGTTTTTGATTTAAATTGTAACTAGCTAATATAAACGAATCAGACAGCTAGACTCCATTCTTGCAGGATTTAGTTTAAAACAACAAACGGAAACTAACAGTAATGTTTCAATTTCAGTCAGTCTCAGTGACGGTATCGGTGCTCACACTAACTTTCATCTCCGTGGATCGTTGGTATGCCATCTGCTTTCCGCTCAAGTTTAAGTCAACTACAGGACGTGCCAAGACGGCTATACTCATTATATGGCTTCTGTCACTGCTATTCAGTAAGAAAATATTTTTTAGTACATGTAAATTTTGTAAGAATTACAGGAATTTGTGAAGGTGATAAATAAGCACATGACACCACCCCTAATGGTAAGTGGATGCTGTGGCACATGGACACCTACATCTATTCTAGATTGAGAATCAAAATGCAAATTCATTGCCAGCCCTGAGATGGGATGCCTCGTTCCCAGTAAAAAGGGTCTCCAGTTCTCTACACTCACCATACAAAACTTTAAGCTGCTATTTAAGGCTGCTATTCTATAAGAGCGTGATACTTCCCAGAGCTAGCTGATTCATTTAATCTACAACCATAATAAAGCTGTAGCGTGGCTCTACAATGTATAACTAATGTTTGCAAACTATGAAATATGTTAACTACATTTATATTAAGGCAAGTTACTAATCCCCTAAGCTACCACGTTTCATTAATAAGAATACTTTAAAATATAAGTATGTACTTGACCTAAAACCTGCATGAGTTCAAAGGCTTTTTTTTCATCAGATGTACCGGAGTTTGTAGTACTACAGGTGCAAAGGAAAATGCAGTTACGATTTAATGTGCAATACTTTATGCAGTGCACATCAACCTGGTCAGACGACAGTGATCTCAAGTGGCATATCATAAAGGCTCTTTTCCTTTACACGTAAGTAACGCAGTAAAAATGTTTTCCGTTTTTGTAATTTATGGCCTTATTAGATATTCCGCTATCGCGATAGTGTTTCGGAATTACTCGACATATTTTTTTTAATTTTTTTACATCACACAATATTACGGCTAGTATGTATATGTGCTCAGTAAATGTTTCTTTCTTTGTAATTATAAAATAGGTTAGAAAATATACTTTCAAAACTTCAATATTATTAGTGTTAAGGCATCTAATATGAATTTCTATAAGTTCTTATATATACCACTAACTCTTGCCGGAGTGAATAGATAATGTCTTCATATTCATTTGTACTATGTACTAGCGGTGTAAGAATATCCACTACAACATATAGTTCCGTGGGTGTCGTAAAAGGTGACAGAGGGAAACAAACCAGGAGCAAGGGCAGCAGCATTTTTATAATATCAACTAAACATAAAAAACTACAGTTACAATTATGGCAAATATGGTGTGGCAATGAGGCAATCTATAGAAGATGTCTATATTCAGCAGTGGACTTTTTATAGGGTTTAATATTAATAGAAATAATAATAATTAATTTCACCAGAGCAGCATTTACTTTTATGTTGTGAAATTGAACTACGTCGTTAATCCAAGACGGCTCCGTGGCGCAGTGGCTTAGCAATAAGTTGTTGCGCTGGGGGCCGCGGGTTCGAATCCCGCACGGAACAAGTATTTGTATGGCCTACAAATAATTGTTCCGGGTTTGGATGTTTGTCCTTGTGAAATTTATGTTTGTAAACTGTCTCCACGACACAGGAGAAAATCCTAGTGTGGAGGTAACGTTTTTCTAAAAAAAAAAAAAGATAAGTTATTCTAATTGTGCGATTTTTTTCTAAACTCCTTTCGCTGTTGATTACATATATTTAGTTATAGATTAATGATTGAAAGGCTAACATGCAAATGTTGTCACAACATTTTACACAAATGAATATAAGAGCCAGTATGATAAAGTATATTATACACTTACTTTAAAGCATTGTTTGTCCTTCTGTTGCGTACAAAAAGATTGAGTCCACTCTACTGTTCTAATGCGTTTTATATCCCCGACGGCATAACTGAAGTTGTTAATTACAGAAGTGCTAATTTAACGTCTCTGAGAAATGAAAAACAAACAAAATATGTGGATACCACCAACACGCATTAGGACAGTGTAACGGCCTCGTCTTTACACTCAATCTCTCTCCAAAATGAGAGTCCTCTTATTTTGGAAAGAGATTGGTAAGCACGGGACACATCCTGAGCTTACTAATGGGACGCCATTTCAAGACCAAATCAGGGACGTCTTGAAAAAAGCCAGGTCAAGAGCACTCTAAACCGTAGAGCATGTATGAAGAGAATAATGAAAGTGGACGAAGCGAAACAAGTATGTAAGGATCATAGCAAGTGGAAAAAAGTGGTCTCTGCCTACCCCTACGGGAAAGAGGCGTGATTATATGTATGTATGCATTTATAACAGCCAGCCAGATATTTGTCATAGTTGCCATGGTTGGGAAGTGGGTTGACAATTTCTGTATTTTTAATATTAGATGTTATTAGTATGACGCTGCCGCCTATCTCCTGGCTTGTTTTTCTCTGTCGCCTCTTTCAACACCCACGGGGTGGTGTGGGGTAGTGGATATCTTTACAGTACCACTACACGGTGGGATGAATATATAGGCTGTTATTTTAATTAGATGACTAACAGTAGCCTACTTTAACTAACGTAAATATAGCAAAACTGTTTATGACATGACCGTGCCTGTATATTATTTATTAAATTCTGATATAAAATGTTATTGTAATTTTCTAAATTTCTGATTCTAATTATTCAATTGCATGTCGACGTAATATTTGCATACCGATAAATTGGTAAAACATGCATGTTCACACTATGTTATAAGACCTAAAAATATACCACGTTTTATGTAAATAAATATTTTATTATTATTATTTATTTTAGGTTCTCTTAACATTCCGTCAGTTTCATTCTTAGTTTCAAACTCGTAGCTCCACCTTAATTTTGCTAATGAAGAAAGTTTGTAGTTTCAACGCTAAAGTCTGCATACAATAAATTTTACTCATGTTAATTTTTGTCAGGTTCCCGTTACTTTTAATGATGATTGCGTACTGTCAAATCGTGAGGGTCTTATGGAGATCGGACAATATACCCGGCCACACAGAATCTCACAAACTTTGCTCAACACCAAGCGGTCCAAACAATTGTAAGTATCTAAATTGTTTTTTTTTTTATAGAAGTACTAGTGATAAACAACCATACAGTCCATCTAATGGTTAGTGGATGCTGTGGTTAATAGACACCTATATGTTTCACCTACTATTTTTCAAAATGCAGATAGATGTTCATCCCGAATAACTAAAATGTAATGATGGAGTCTTCGGTTACTACACTCACTATATTATGGTCCACAACTTTGTTATTCTGTTACTTTACGCTGGCGTTCTGTGACTACGTGGCCCTTCGACAGTTGAGTTGATGAGTGCTAAGCTGATAAACGAAGTGTAAGAGGACTTTATTAGACGGAGTGGCGAATTTTTGTTATAGAATAAGGATAAAAAACCAGCACATAGTCCACCTGATGGTAATCTCATTTCCAGTAAAAAGTATCTCCGATTCTCTACAATTACCATACCACAGCAGCATAAAACTTCTATATTACGTCGGTACACTGTGATAACGTGTTACTACCCGGTCTCAATCGAGCCGACCCATTCGTGCTACTACCACGCAAGCTGGTAAGAGATACAAGAAGTCGATGTATGCTGGTAGCTCAGGATCTTATTTTCTGGCATTCCTTGGGGCAGACCTATGTTCAGCAGTAGAATTTTGAAGAGCTGTAGTGATAATGATTGCAAAGGCAATGGTGTTGGAGTTATACAGACTATATTATACTAATGATTAAGACAAAATGAAGGGTCAATATTATATAATAAGCGAAACCTGTGCTTTATATTACACTAAGTAGTACTTCCTTTTCAATAGTCATTATTTATAAAGAAACGAACTTCGCTTTTGCAAAATCAATCGAGTTTGATAATTAATTTCGGATCTTCTGATTTAGAGTGTTTTTTTTTTTTTTTTTTTTTTTTTTTATAGGAGAGGGGGCAAACGAGCATGCGGCTCACCTGATGGTAAGTGACTACCGCCGCCCATGAACAACCGCAACACCAGAGGAATTGCAGATGCGTTGCCGGCCTTTTAAAAAGGAGTAGGCTCTTTTCTTGAAGGTCCCTAAGTCGTATCGGTCCGGAAAAATCCCTGGTGGTAAACTATTCCACAAGGAAATTGTGCGAGGAAGAAAACATCTTCTAAATCGCACAGTGGTGGACCGCCAATCATCCAGATGGTGTGGATGGTATCGGGAGTTCTGCCGCGATGTGCGTTCGTGAAATTTGGCGGCTGGGATTAATCCGAACAATTCCTCAGAGCACTCCCCATGGTAGATGCGAAAGAAAATGCAAAGAGATGCAACATCTCTTCGCAGTGCCAATGAATCGAGCCGATCGGAAAGGGCTCGGTCGTCGACGATTCGAGCCGCTCTGCGCTGGATGCGGTCAAGTGGAAGGAGCTGGCACTGGGGAGCCCCTGCCCAGAGATGGGAACAGTATTCCATGTGAGGCCGAACCTGCGCCTTGTAAAGTTGCAGGCGGTGTGCCGGCATGAAATACTGTCCCGCTCTGCTGAGCACGCCAAGCTTTTTAGAGGCCAATTTGGCCTTCTCTTCCAAGTGACCACGAAACTGCACGTCACTCGATATGTCTACTCCGAGGATACCGATACTGGCTGAGGCAAGAAGGGGAGTGCCTTGAAACTGAGGAGATACGACAAAGGGGTTCTTTTTAGCGGTAAACGCGCAAACTTGTGTCTTCTGAGGATTAAACTGGACTAGATTTAGTCGCCCCCAATCCGAGACTTTGTCCAGCAAAGACTCGACTTCTGACACAAGTTTGTTCCGGTACTCGGCGACGTTTTCCCGAGAAATATTGGCCCGGCCGGTGTATAGAGCATCACCAGTGCTGTCATCCGCATAGCAATGAATGTTACCAGTTAGCAACATATCATTGATATGCAGAAGAAACAGCGTTGGTGATAGCACACAGCCTTGTGGAACACCAGCGTTAATAGGCTTGTAGTCAGAACATGCACCGTCTACAACGACCTTGATGCTCCGATCTGCAAGAAAGCTGGTGATCCAATTGCACAATTTCTCGGGAAGCCCATAGGAAGGCAGCTTCGAAAGAAGCGCTTTGTGCCAAACCCGATCAAAGGCCTTCGCAATGTCCAGACTAACGGCCAACGCCTCCCCCTTGGACTCTACTGCCTTCGCCCATCTATGGGTCAGGTAGACCAGAAGATCACCAGCTGATCGACCCCGACGAAAACCGTATTGGCGGTCACTAATCAGCTGGTGATCCTCAAGGTACCGGATGAGCTGGCAGTTAATAATGGATTCCATTATTTTGGAGAACAAGGAGGTGATCGCGATAGGCCTATAGTTGGACGGGTCTGAGCGGTCGCCTTTTTTAGGGATCGGGTGGACAAAAGCTGTCTTCCATGAATTCGGGACTACGCCTTGGGAGTAGGAGTACCGGAAAAGACGCGTTAGGACCGGTGCCAACTCCGGAGCACACGTCCTCAGCACAATTGGGGGGATTCCGTCAGGCCCACTCGACTTCTGGATGTCCAGGGAGAGAAGTGCTTTGCGAACTGTTCTTTTAAAGTGAGTAATTAATTGCTTCCGTTCATTTTCTAAAAGATTGGTAATGAAAATCAATTAATCAAAACCAATTTCGCGCACCCTGGAATCCATCAGATTTTGACACGGGTGAATAAAGAGTGACTCATTGTGCAATAATTTGGCACGGTACATTTGTTTACGTGGAAATCAATTAACGAGTTGTCTTTTTCAAATAACTTGTATGACAACTACAAAAACACTGCCGCCGCATAAAAATTAAATTCATTCGAAAAATTGCGAAAATTTGCAAAAATTTGCTAATGAACAGAGAGGCGTTGTTTGAATTAGCCCGGCAAATTTCACGTGTCTTAAAATACAGAGGTATGCGGAACCGGAGCTCATTTTTAGGTTTTAGGTTCTTAATTCCACTGTATGTTCTTTTTTGTATGTATGCGATGCGATAATTCGTCAATTATAAACCGAAATTATTATATTTTTTTTAATAATATATCTCATGAATTTGAAATATTTAATTGGATAATATAAAAAGATTATAAATTAACTGTTTGCATGACACCACTATTCAAAAGTGCCATTAGTCGGGACATTAATATTCTATTGGCTAAAAGTAGTTTAAAAGTCAGAGTATTTTCGTGTTTTGTGTTAAAGTACCCTATTAAAATGCTTTCTTTTTCATTGGGTACTTTTCAATCAAGGATTTTTTTTATAAATATAAGGGTGAACAAGGAGTATAAGTAGAGCGTAAGACCCTTTGAAGTCTGACATCGAATGCCATATAATCTTTATTAAGGAGGTATCAGGTTCTCTACATTGCTATTTTTATAGATGTAGCGCGTGGCTCTACAACATATAAATTTTGGTTGCTAGACCAACCTGACCAACATTGACTTATCTTGGTCTGTTACAAAAGTTTAATCATGTCCACACGATAGATAATTGGAAAGGATATTTTTAAACCAATCTTGCTTTAATGCGAAATACGTCCATCCAGTATTCTCCAATACTACCACCAAGTTAAAGAAAATTTTGGTATAATTACAATGTATCACAAGTATTAGATTATATAAGATGTTATATATCATATCATATTTTTTTTTATATGATCGAGTGACAAACGAGCACACAGTCCACCTGATGGTAAGTGGTTGCTGTGGCCCACAGACATCTACATTTATCCTCGTTTGCGAATCAAAGGGCAGATGCGTTGTCACCCGTGAGGACTAGGATGGAATGCCTCTTTTCCAGTAAAAAGGGTCTCCGGTTCTCTACACTCACCATACGAAACACAGCAGTATTAAGACTGCTATTTGACGCTGGTATTCTGTGAGGGTGTGGTCCTTCCCCGGTTGAGCCGACCCATTCGTGCTACAACTATACTACTAATATAGCTGTAGCATGGCTCTACCACGTAAAATTAATCATTAATAATTAATTAGGAATTAAAAATTTTTTATTGCACTATTGCATTATTTTGTTATTAGATTTAGGTAAGTTTTCTTTGAATTAAACTAATTTTACAGATTAATAAATTAATATTTAATATTTATTATTATATTGTACGTAGTAGAGCCATGCTGCAGCTATATAGCTATATAGCTGCAGCATGTAACATTACAGGTATAGTTGTAGCTATAGCTTCATTACTGGTATAGTTGTAGCATGAATGGATCAGCTCGACCTGGGAAGTACCACGCTCTCACAGAATACCAGCGAAAAATAGCAGCTTAGTCTTCACGGGTAACCACTTATCATCAGGTGGACTGTGTGTTCGTTTGTCTCCCTTAACCTATAAAAAAAATAGAATCCGTAGTTTCATTTTATTTGTAGTGTTCGCGTAAATATAAGAATATTTTTCGTCAATTTAGCCAATTAATTTTCCTTTTTAATTTTTGTATTATTATAATTGCAGCATATTATCTGTTGTAGGTTATATTTATACGAGCATAAAACAATTTAAATGACTGTTTTATATTCCTAGACATATTATGTACCTCTATTTAGCTTATGAAAAAATAAAATAAATAGAAACCTCATTGAGGACTAACAAATTTTATGGTTTTAAAAGGGTTGGCAGCAAGCCGACGGACCACACCTTCGATCCACGCTAACGCATCAACAGAAGGACAGCTAAGATCTCGTCGGAAAGCAGCAAAGATGCTGGTAGCAGTGGTTGTCATGTTCGCAGTTTGCTACTTCCCCGTTCATCTGTTGTCAGTCCTGAGGTGAGAGACCGTAAAACTTTTTATAATATTCTCCAGACCGAATTCGTAAATGGCCAGCCTCAACGGAAACTAGGCATTTGTGCAAAACAGGACGATAGTGCACGAGTAGGGGCGCTAGCACAGATACACTCTCTGTTCCCTCACTCCCATAGTCCGAAGCGACGTCAACCCGACATGACCGGGGAGAGATCAGGTGCAGAACCAAATGCTTTAGGTGCTTTCTGCGGCACAGAAGTGACACCGCCAATTGCCTGACCCCCGGCTACTACTGAGAATTCCTTAACAAAAAAAAAGGGATTTGAACCTTCGGGACCTTACGATCAGCCGTCGCGCTTACAAACCGCTAGATCAACGAGGTATAGCTGGTGGTGTCTAGCCAGTGAACATAAATATCAAAAGAGACGGATATAGATGCGTTATATTTCTCTATACACTAAAAATACCTCACAGCTTGTAAAAATCTCAATTCTCTTCGGATTGTAATATATTGATATTTTTCGTTTTAAGATAATACTTTACTTCCACTCTAAGATCTGTTCCTATATCGTGGAGGCAATTTATATTTTTTTTATAGAAATAGAGTGACAAACGAGCACGCAGTCCACCTGATGGTAAGTGGCTGCTGTCGCCCATAGACATCTAAATCTATTCTCGTTTGCGAATCAAAATGCAGATGCGTTGTCAGCCTTGTGTCTTTTCCAGTAAAAAAGGTCTCCGGTTCTCTACACTCGCCATACGAAACACAGCAGCATTAAGCTGCTATTTTACGCTGGTATTGTGAGAGCGGTTGAGCCGACCCATTCGTGCTACAACTATATTATAAATATAGCTTCACCTTGGCTCTACCACGTTTGAAATATATATACATAAATTACACAAAAAAAAAACTGAATGATTGTGACCCGGAACAATTATTTGTAGGTCATACAAATACTTGTTCATTGCGGGAATTTAACCCGTGGTCTTCATCGACACAACAAAAAAGTAAGTTTCTTTGCTATGGGGCTATCATGAATAGAAACAGATTAGAGGTTAACCCACCTAAATAAATTCTAGACAGAAATTTTGCACCACCAACTAGAAAATGAGGTTGATAGTATCAAATAACAGTTCATTAGTATCATTGAAATATATTCAAGTCAATTTCTAGTCGCTTGTTGCGTTTCCTTTTGTTCTGATTACTCCAGAATTCGTGTATGTTGACAGACGACCATCGTGATATTTTGTTTCCTAGTTTTTTTTTAATTTATTTATCAGATCAAAAAAATACAGATAAAACCACGTAGGTTTGACTTGATGCTAAATAATTAAGTTTAATTTAGCATATTATGTACATAACACATCATCATCATCATTCATCATTACAGCCCTTCACAAGTCCACTGCTGAACATAGGCCTCCCCCAAAGAATGCCACAAAGCACGGTCCTGAGCCACCTGCATCCATCGACTTCCTGCATGTCTTACCAGGTCGTCACTCCATCTCGTGGGGGGACGCCCTACACTTCGCCTACCGGTACGAGGCTGCCACTCGAGAACCTTTCTTCCCCATCGGTTGTCGGTTCTTCGAGCTATATGGCCGGCCCACTGCCACTTCAGCTTACTAACCCGTTGGGCTATGTCGGTTACTCTGGTTCTACTGCGGATATCCTCATTCCTAAGTTTATCACGCAGAGAAACTCCGAGCATAGCCCTCTCCATAGCTCGCTGAGCGACCTTGAGCTTCCTCATACGGCCAGCAGTGAAGGACCACGTCTCAGTTCCGTAAGTCATCACTGGCAACACGCAATGGTTGTACAATTTCGTTTTAAGGTTTTGAGGTATGTCTGACGAGAAGATGTGTCGTAGCTTCCCGAACGCTGCCCAGCCGAGTTGAATCCGTCGATTGACCTCTCGGTCGAAGTTGGACTTACCTAGTCGGACTATTTGTCCCAGGTAAACATACTCGTCAACAACTTCGAGCTTAGTGCTCCCAACAACTACCGGCATAGGTGTGACATGGACATTAAACATAATCTTTGTTTTGTCCATGTTCATCTTAAGACCTATCCGTTGGGAAACACTATTGAGGTCATTGAGCATAGTGCTTAGGCCCTCCAGCGATTCTGCCATAAGGACTATATCGTCGGCAAATCGAAGGTGAGTGATGTACTCGCCATTGATGTTGATACCGTATCCTTTCCAGTCCAGAAGCTTGAAAACGTCTTCCAATGCAGCGGTGAAGAGTTTCGGGGATATGACGTCACCCTGTCTTACACCTCTCTGCAATTGGATAGGTTTCGTACTCTGGTTCTGTATTCGGATAGCCATCGTAGCCCTACTGTACAAGCACTTCAACACTTCGATATACCGACAGTCAACTTGACACCGCTGAAGGGACTGCAGCACCGCCCAAATTTCGACGGAATCAAAGGCTTTCTCATAGTCCACATACGCCAGACATAGTGGCAAATTGTACTCTTCGGACTTCTGTACAATTTGCCGAAGGGTATGTATGTGGTCTATGGTGCTAAAGCCCTTTCGGAAACCGGCTTGTTCGGGAGGCTGGAAGTCTTCAAGTCTGCGCGCGAGACGATTCGTAATGACTCTCGAAAACAGCAAGTAGACGCGGCTCAGAAGGGAAATCGGTCTGTAGTTCTTCAAGGAACCGTTGTCACCTTTCTTGAAGAACAAGACCACCGCACTTCTGCTCCACGCCTCCGGTGTAATGCCACCATAGAGGACGGAATTAAAGAGCTTCTGAAGTACTTCAAGTACCGGTCTTCCACCCGCTTTCAGAAGCTCCGCTGTAATTCCATCCTCGCCTGGGGCCTTACCGTTTTTAAGGTGCTGGAGAGCCATTCTAATCTCGCTCAGACTGACGTCCGGGATATTTTCGGAATAGTGTCGGATGAGACTCGCTCTTGGATCGTTACTCACACTTGCGTGTGGATCCAACGATGACGTGTACAGCTACCCATAGAACCTCTCAATCTCACTCAAAATCCCAGGTGTCCCGGAAACGATGCTGCCACATTCTGTCTTCAGCTTTGACAGGTGGCTCTTTCTGGCAGACAGATCTCTGGCAAAGACTTTGGAGCTTTGGTTCCGCTCGATCGCTTCTTCAATACGAGCTGTATTGAAGTTGCGTAAGTCCCGCCGCATGCATTTGGAAATCTGTCTGTTCAGATGCCTGTATGCTGTCAAGTCTGTTGAAGAATGTAGCTTCATCTCCCGTCTAACAGCCATGAGATTAAGAGTGTGATCGGAGAGTTTTTGTGTTCTTCTGCGGCGGGTCTTGCAGAACTTATCTCCGACCGCATGGACAGTTTCCACGAGCTTGTCATTCATATCGTCCACTTCATTGCAGTCTTCTAGGCACTGAAAACGGTTTTGTAAAGGTTTCGGGACTTTGGAACAGAGCACGAGGGGGACGGAGCGTTGACTTCATTAGACGAAACCTCTCCAACTTAACGTTTAGGTTCAGTGTGCCTCTAACCATTCGGTGATCGCTACCAGTTTTCACCCTCGCGATCACGGAGACATCACTGAACAGTTGTCGTCTGGTCGTCATAATGAAGTCAATCTCATTTTTTGTGGAACCGTCGGGGCTCGACCAGGTCCACTTCCTGTGGGGCCGCTTCTGGAAGAAAGAGTTCATCATAAAGAGTCCCTCTTTCTCCATGAAGTCGGCCAGCTGCTGGCCCCTTGGGTTCCGTTGCCCTATTCCAAATTTCCCTACTTTCAGCTCACCGTTCTCTCTTGTGCCTAGTTTTGCATTGAAGTCTCCCATTAACACCGTATATTGGGTTTTGGAGGAATGCATGGCTCTAGAGATATCCTCATACATTTCCTCCACCTCCCCATCGGGGTGTGCCGAGGTTGGTGCGTAAACCTGTATGACCTTCAGCGAATACCGTTTGGTGATTCTGAGTATAAGGTACGCAACCCTCGTCGACACACTCCCGATCTTTACAACGTTGTTAACGAGAGACTTGTGGACGATAAATCCGACACCTCCTTGGGACAGATGATCGCCCTCCCGGTGACAGAGCAAGTTGCCGGATTCGAGGATTACCGTGTCCTCCCCCTCTCTTCGGACTTTGGATAATTCTATAATATGCAATCCTATAATATGCACATATGCACATATGTACATAACACACTCTAAGTAAATATTTAGGTATGATATAACCATTACATACAGATCAGACGTAAATGTTGACAACAATGGACAGCGTCAAGTGCGAGACAACGATTGGTAAATTACCTGGCAAGCATAGTGGTTATCGGAAATTTTCACTAAAATGGGAGTGGCCTAAGGCTGCCAATAAACTGTATGCTAACGTCCACAGTACTATTCAGTATTAGTTACTGTTTTACGTAACTAATTAACTAATAAAAAAATAGTTAACTAAAGTAATTTCTTAATATTTAAACAGTACCCCATACAACCTTTTGAGAACTCTGGTGATAATATATCCAGTACCAACACCAGGCTAAAGACAATGGCAAATAAAATTGATATAATCACAAGGTATCATCATCATCATTACAGCCCTTCACAAGTCCACTGCTGAACATAGGCCTCCCCCAAAGAATGCCACAAAGCACGGTCCTGAGCCACCTGCATCTATCGACTTCCTGCATATCTTACCAGGTCGTCACTCCATCTAGTGGGGGGACGCCATACACTTCGTTCGCCGGTACGAGGCCGCCACTCGAGAACCTTTTTTCACTCGAGAACCTTTTTTCTGATTGTGTGTGATGAAATCACAAGGTATCATAAGATAATAAATAAGGTTATCGTGTTATAAATAATTTATGTTTTAACAGTCTGAGATGTTCCGGTCACACAACATGCAACAGTCAGTTTCCGACAGATAGCGCTATATCTATTATCTATCTCGTTTACGCCAGGCGTAAAATCTCAGAACAACGTCAAAGGTCCGAAACGTTCGATACTGTAACCGTCAATTCGCCTCCACAGCGTGACCTTTGGGAAAATCCTCTTTGCATTGGAAGGGACTCATTTCCAGTAGTGTACTTATAGGGAATGATGAATAAAGGAAAGCCTCTATAGACCTATAGACTATTCATAACTAAGAACACCTTTACATGCTGATAAAAAGAGAATTCCATAAAGTCGATTCATTAATTTAAGAGCATTCTCTATCTTTTCATCTGTTTTAATAAAGTGTAATAATAAACAAATGAACAATTTATTAGGGTGGCTTACGACGTACAACAAAGCGACGTGATGACATGCATAGCCCTGATCTCGCACGTTATGTGCTACGCGAATTCTGCCGTCAATCCACTTATATATAACTTCATGAGCGGTAAGTTTTTTTATAATAGAATTTTATTTTTAATTAAAAAAAAAAACTATTATGTAAGTGAAATATGTTATTATTTTAATCGTTCTAAGAACAACTACAATTAGAGATAATGTTTTTAGTATTTCATGGATTTTTTTTAAATATTTTCTCTAATATAATCGACCTCCATTAATCATTTAATAACTTTCAAACTGTTAATCAACATTTAATTCCAATAATTGATGATATTTAACGAACGAAACCAAAGACTGAGAATCACGTCAATGTTTTAATATAATTTGGCTCAGAATATCATTTTTCATCATTATTAATGAATCACAAAATAAATTTACAACGGAATAGCTTTTCGCTTTTGTTTTGATTGACGTTAACTTGTTGTTTTGTCGTAAATAATATGATTATTAAATTAATAAAATATGTCTTGATAAAATAATAATTAATGAATCGTGAAGAACAGTCATTAGCTCTGTTAATGATCATAACGAACATTATAGTTACGACTTACGTACGGCCTGGTACGGCCTAATACGGTCCTAGTCGTAGTTTCTAATACGTACAGTATGTCTACAAAATAGCGTAGTGGTATACTTATACCTGATTTGTGTCATCCAGTATCTTACAGTCGATCTGATGGTAAGTGGCTACTGTTGACAACTTCAAACAAAGAGGGCTACAGATCTGTTGCCAAATCTAAGAACTAACATGGAATGCCTCACAACCTTTAATAATTCTGTCTATCTATTTAACTTTTAGCGGAAAACAGCACCAAATAAGTTGATACATACCCAGATGGGCAACTCTTAGTAAACAAAGTTCAAAGTTTTGGCGACCTGCCACACTGGTTACAAAATTCGCAAAGCTTAGTAATTAGTAATGCATACGCCGCTGGTCGGAGCAGTTGTGTATCAACAATGAACTAGAGTTACTAATACCTATCGAATATTTCGGGCTTTTTCAAGCAAAGCCGTGAATATAGATTACGGAAAACTGGCATTATATAAAATAAAACTATGCTACGCTACATGGCTTAGAGTAAAAATATTTCTTTTACACTTTTACTGTGGAAGAACAAAAAAAGAAAAGAAATAGTCTACTTACACAGTATAGTCATATGTAATAAAAAAAAAAACAAAGATTCAACACAAGCCGACCCTCTTCAACGTCTTGGTCTTTCGAGATTTTGAATTTTTCTTTTCAAATAAAATACATAATTAAAGCCGCCCAAACAAACCAGAGATACGGCGTTCACATAATCATCGTCCATTCTGTCAGTCGTCTTACAAATGTGAGTACAATAATTGAAAACAAGTTTAATAAGTAATTTTGCGTTCCTACGAATATTTGCGTATACAAAATTTATTCAAATGTGAACGTGGCCAAAGTATTATATATTTTGAAAATGTGTACCAGTATCCAAACTTTGCTCGCGTGTCTGGCGCCAGTGTAGGCCAATTGTTTTTTTCCTCGTCAATTACGACAGAAATTTCATTATACATTTTATTCATAAATAAGTTGTTACGCTATATTTACAATAACAATAATATTCATAAAAATATTAGGTGGAAAATAATTCTCAATTATCTAATAATTCTCAAATCTCTGCACGTTTATAAACCTAAAAAAAAGGATTAAAATAAATCAGCAAAGGTTTCAGATATGTATTTAGCTAAAAGTTTTGTAAATACGGCTGAAATGTCTTATATATTACAAAATAAAACTTATTTTTTACACTTTGAAGCTTTTCTCATATTTTATGATTAGGACACGTATTATATAATTTTTCAATCGTGTATATAACACACAATGATGTACTATAGGTGATACATTTTTTTATTTTCGCTTTTATATGCTCTATTATTTCTTGTAACTAAACAGATTAATTAAATTATACGTTACGTTTCTAAGGCTCATGTTTATTATATTTAAAAATGCGTCACATAAGTATTTTGCTTGCAGGATTTCCTGGGTTTTCAGGTTAGTAAGTCATCACTGGCCCTGACCAAATTTAAATATCACGCAAAGAATGACTGACCTATGCCCGTTTATTTTGTGTCGCATGTGTTTGATGTTTACGCTACTTAAAATGATATAAGGTTAAACAAAAGCCTTGAAGGGTTAAAATAGTTAAAGCAACTTTATAAAATAAATATTTTTTGCGTAATCTTAGCTATATTTAAGTCCTGGGATTCATAGATAGCGACTGAGATGGGAATAGATTATAATAATATCAATACTATATAAATAAAAATCCTAAAAATGTGATATTGACATTAATAATAATTGGAATATTAAAAAAGGTTATATGTCAATTATTTCTATATACTTATGTACAAAAAGTAAAATCTAAAAAAAACCACAAAGCGTAGTAAAAGGTGACTGCGACTGAAATACTTCTCAAGAAATATTTGATGATTTTTATGTATGCAGTCACAAAAATCACAAAATCTATGTACAAAGTTCACATGTTGAATCCCTTTCATTACAAATACAAAGGTTATTTGAGAAACAGTTACCTATCTGCAATGATGCGTACTAATTTATACATCACGTTCGTTTACGTCTTGGAGTACATACTGCTTCTTTAGATCTACGTTAATTTATATCAAGCACCTATTATTAGGGCCGTACCTCACAAGGGCGCCAAAGCGACATTGCTGGCATTATCGTCCAACATTTCGTATTCAATTTTATGGCATCTAACTCAAATGGTGACGATTAGGCGTCGTCGCCCATTTTGATAACGTAGCCACTATATCAAGTCGTTGGCGTTGCTATTAGTATAAATAGTACGTGTGCAAGCTGCACTTCTATAACTCAAACGCTAGTTGCCACCAAGGTTGCCCACTAAACATTCATTAAATTATTATTATTAATGTGTTTGTTGTATACATTATTTTAAAATAATTAATATTTTATTAATAATAACATGTTAGTTATATTTTTTTCAGTGGACAATATATATTTTTATTTTTTTTAATAATTTGTCAAATGATGCTAAGGGTCATCGTCATCAACATCTTGCGGCAGTCCAATGCTGGACATTGAAATCTCCTAAGGCGCACCTTTTAGCCCAATATTCGGCTTCACGATTGCGCTTGAAGGCAGCCGTTTTACCCAGTATGTCGTTTGACCTAGTCGGCCACATAATATTTTTGGTTTAGAAAAGACCATTTTAGCTTCGATAGAATTTAAAAGGATTATGTACTTATTGTTTAATTTTTTTTCTATCGTTTGTGATATCTGAAGTAAATAAGGTGTGCAATCTCTTCTACATTTTTCTCTTTTCTACGTCTTGTTGCCGGTGAATTCGCCATGACATTGCGGTGAGGTGCGGCCCCAATGAAATTAGCACTATTTTGATTTTTTTATCGTAACTATATGTCATATATTATATTTTATATAAATGTTATATTATTTTATATTCGATCTACACCACGTACACTTATAGGCTTTCTTTATATCTTTATGTTGAGAATTTGTTCATAAAAGTCGTATCATAGTAATTATTATTGTTACAGGAAAATTCCGTCGAGAATTTCACAGGTCCTACTTTAAGTGTTTCTGTTGCTGCTTCAGTCCGACTCCTGATCAAAATGGAACCTCTTTCGCTGCCATTGGCAGTTCAAGGACTGGTACTACTCGAACCATCGTAAGACGAAACGACTCATGCGCCAGTTATAGATTGACACATCTGTCACCTTCCAATCACCACAGCATACACCGAGATTGTGGAAGAAACACTAATACATCGTTTATCGAAAACAACATGAACGGTAATAGGCGGCCTAAAATTAGGGACGACTCCATAAGTGAATCGGCTTCAGCACGGTTCACTTTAGCAACTGATGTTGGCAAAGATTGACATTTGGGTAAAAACAATTTTCTAGTCTGCTACAATAATGATTTAAGGAACCGTGACGGAATTGAAAGCTACATTGCGAGGAGTACGAACAGCATCGACTGTAAGCCTTATTACGATTGTTTTAAGGGTGCTGGCCCTAGTAGATGTGAGGTCAAAGCATTTCCTGACAAGACGGTGACTGATGAAACTCACAGTGATACGCATGCAGACTATCGAGAGTGCGACAATGAATGGCGTGAACTTTTCAGAGTCAGTGACGAAACTAAAAACGGGTTTAAGTTTAAATTTAATCGTAGCTTAAACAGTTCTCAAATTAAGAATAAAAGAAAATGTAATATGATGTACTAAAATATTATAATAAATAAATGTAAATATTAACATAATGTATGTTAGTAGCGAATAAAAAATCAGTTTAAAAAAATTATGCGTATTGAATTGGAGCTTGTAGTGTAATAAACAGTCGTTAGACGTCTGTTGGTAATAATGTATTTAAATCATTTAAGTACATTTTAAATGTCACTAAAATGTAAGTTTTAAATGTCACAAAAATATATTAAGTTTTATATGTCACCAAAATATAACTTTAAAAAAAATTTTAAATATCATCACTCGCGCAAATATCATCACGTCGTTGTTACATTATGAAACGTAACATCACTAAATAATTATTTAGACATTAAGCGGCTCGTATTTTCATTCTGTATTAATTTATTCAACATGCTATCAAATGTTCATGGCTAAACATAGCTTCCTCCATAGGCTATGTTCAGCATATACATAGATTGCCACGCCGGGCAGGTGTGTTGGCAATCACACTTAATATTTCTATTTCATTTCTCTCTGTCATTTCTAGCGACACCCACAAGATGATATCAGGTAGTTGATTCTCTTATACCGCCACTGTACGACACGCTAACTAATTTAATCGTATTTTCTTGAATTGATATAATTTTTTCTATATCATGTACCTACTTTGTAATTTTTTACCGAGTTCAATTACAAAGGAGCTATGATATTTTCGAATATATTATAGCCATCGTATGTTTTACATGTATGAAACGGCTCAACCGATTTAAATTATTATTTTTAATAAATACATTATTATGTCTCAGGGATGGTTCCATATAAAATTGAAGAAAAAATATGTCCCCAAGGTGAAAAAAAAATAGAGAATGAAGACTTAAATGGACCTGGAATGGACTTTAATGACAAAAACTTAAAATTTTAAAAATTTATTTAATTCGAACTTAAAAAATAAACTTACTTGACTATCTCAGAATTGACTTCAGATGCTATTTTGTGTTTTTTTTTTTAAGTTTGTGCCGTCGGTTCTACTTTTTAGGCAACATTAAGAAAATATAAACATGGTTATCTCTAATTACACCAATCGCTAATTACTTTTACAAATAATATATTTTTATATTCTACATTCTGTAACATTTATGGAAAAGTGAATAGAATAAGTACTTTATATTTAAGTACTAAAATATTTTCTTAATAATAGAATAATTATTTTTTATCTACACGAATATTCCCAATATTAAAAATAATTGTACAGATTTAAATTGTTCCTTGAAACCTTGCAATGCTACAACATACTAAGTTTGAAGCGATGGAACATGAAATAGATAAAATAAAAAAAAAAGTTGTTAAAAGCTACATAATCTATATAATAGGTTTTACTCATGATTAAACTACATGTACATTTATCGATCTCAGGACTACCATCACTATCATACGACTTAGTTAATTTTAATTGAGGTAATGCAATGCTTTGAAACTAGAGCCAGCTCATTAATGCTATGATGTTGGTAAACGTCGCACGTTGAAATGAGCAGGAAGTAACTTGTTTACGTTTATACGGCATTCGTTCGTTAGCTACTAATAACGGCGGTTTCCATTTTATTTTTAGGTTACCATAATGTTGCAGGATTGCGATCTTTGATTGGTGTTATTTTGGTTTAAGAAACTATTGTGAGACGTTGCCAGGGGAATTTTTAAAAGCGAACGGAATGTTAAAATTTTAATTTTAAAAGATAAAATTTAACATTAAATTACGCAACTTTTGTGAAACCGAAATTATATTAGAAAATATTTTTTAGCCAATTATATATCATTTATATCATTAATTAGATACATAATTTATAAATGGAGAAGGATCTTAAGATCATTCATTTAAATACATAAATTATTGTGAATTTAGAAACTTGTAGAAAAGATTATAGCTGTTCCTTATTATTAATAAGAGTTTATGCGGTATGAGGAAATAAAATCAATATATAAAACATGCTTAAATTGTAATAAGTTCTATATACGCAAAATTGAACTTGTGACTTACTTATTCGAGCTTGTGACGCCTGTGAGCCTTTTTCAAAAGACCTTTTTCTTCTCAACTAATATAAAATTTGGGCCGTCTGCAGGCCCGTAAATACTGGGCATCTGCTTATGCCCGACATCTAGTAGATGGTAGCATATAAATAGATGCCGGGCATAATCACCCTGACTTCTTTTTTCCATACAATTTCATTCCTTTTTTGGACTGAGTACTAACTACTCTATTTGGTTCAAAAGCTACAATATACATTTCAATATATTTTTTTTAAATCTTAAATAAAATATTGAGTTCCGCAGAAGTTCACAATTTAAAATAATAAATAGATATTGCTTGATACTAGAAGTGATCAAAATATTGTATTTTGTTTTTAGTTATTAAATGATTATATGTACTATAAACCATCATCATTATCAAAGAAACAGCCCTTCACAAGTCCTTTGTTAAACATAAGCTACGGTAGCCACAAAACACGATCCTGAGTCACCTGCATGCACCACCTCACTCTAGGAGGGGAGAGGCTGCCCTACTTCGGTTACCGGTAGAAGGCTGCCACTCGAGAATCTTTCTTTTCCATTCCCTTGTAATATATTTGAGTAAAATTAACTGTAACTCTAAAGAAGATCTATTGATATATTTTCTAATTTATATAAAATTTTAATATGTAGAGTTTTATTATACTGTTTTGTATATACGACATTTTGTGAATTTTCAATAGAAAATAAAACATAGGATCACTAAAATATTTATTATTTATAAAATTAAGATATGTGATAGATGATAAATTTTCACATTGGTGGTAATTTAAGATTGTGGATATTTTGTGTACTTTCACTTCTATTAATTGTACAAATAAAGTTGTGGAGATATATCAAAACTGTATTTTAATTTCCAAAATATTAAAAGTTTCATTTTTTACGTCACAAAAACACATCATTTTTTTAACTTTAACACCACACCATTATTTCATACTGTATCTTGAAAGCATTTTACATACAGAACAATTATTTGTAGAACATAAAACACTTGTTTCGTGCGGGATTCAAACCCGCGATCTAGTCTCCCTACAATACCAATATGAAAATACCAATGCTTAGGCACTGCGTAACCGAGCTATCTGTATATACAATTTTACTAAGAGTTTATTTAATATTGAGTAAGGGTAACAAACCGGTTTCCGAAAAGGCTTTAATTACCATATACCACATACATACCCTTCAGAAAATTGTACAGTACAACTCCAAGGAGTACAATTTGCCATGTCTGGCGTATGTGGACTATGAGAAAGCTTTTGATTCCGTCGAAATTTGGGTGGTGCTACAGTTCCTTCAGCGGTGCCAAGTTGACTGTCGGGATATCGAAGTGCTGAAGAATAGAATAGAATATTTTTTTATTCAATATACATTACATGTGTAATTCTTATTGAAAGTCATTTTTTACTTTACCACTGGTTCGAAAAAACCCTCTGTCCTGGGAAGAACCAGCAAGAAACCCAGCGGGACTTTTTTTTTAAAATAAATTTTACAATATAAATGATTACGAACTATTTACAAAATTTATTTTAGAAACTGCTTGGAAGCGATCACCTCATTCCCAGGGGTTATTATCAACCATGTATTCATTTATACTATAATAACCCTTTTTATACAGTTTCAGCTTAATAAAACATTTAAACTTGGTAATAGAGAGAACCTGTACACTTTCCAGGACCTTGTTGTAATAGCGTATACATTGCCCCAAGAATGAATTACTGACTCTGTGGAGTCGAGAAACTGGTATCACTAGCTTGTGTTTGTTCCTAGTGTTTACAGAATGTATATCACTTCTTTTACTAAAACTATCTTTGTTTTTGTGAACATACATTAAATTTTCGTAAATATACTGAGAGGCCAAAGTTAATATATTAATTTCTTTAAATTTATCTCTAAGAGACTCTCTCGGTTTTAGATTGTAAATAGCTCTAATGGCCCTCTTCTGTAAAACAAAAATTAGTTTCTGAATCAGCCGCATTTCCCCATAGCAAAATCCCATAAGACATTATGCTATGAAAATAACTAAAATAAACTAATCTAGCTGTCTCGACACTAGTGAGACCTCTAATCTTTTTTACAGCATAGGCTGCAGAACTTAGTCTGCTTGCTAATTTGGATATATGGAGGCCCCACTGGAGCTTTGCGTCAAGAGTGATGCCAAGAAAAACAGTGGATACAACAGGGCTCAATTCCTCCCCATTTAAAAACACATTGGTATTCAGATTTTGAACATTCGTTGTTGTAAATTTAACACAATTAGTTTTATTTCCGTTCAAATGCAGATTATTAACGTTAAACCAATGCACTAATTTTGATATAGCATTATTCACTTCGTCACATTTAAATGATTGACGTTTAAGTTTAAAAATCAAGGAAGTATCATCAGCAAATAATACTATATCATGACTATCCCCTACAAGGTGAGGTAAGTCATTAATATACACCAGAAACAGGAATGGGCTGAGAATCGAGCCCTGAGGTACACCCATTAGTACAGGTGACCCGGAAGAACTTTTACCATTAATAATAACCTTCTGTTTTCTATTACTTAAATATGAAATAATAAGTTTAAGCGCTGTGTTCTTGACACCATAGTACTGTAGCTTCCTGATTAATGTCTCATGGTGAACACAGTC